CTCAGTCTCAGAATATGATGCCTTCTCTGGAGACTTCACAGGCTTGACTAGTTTACCTACTAGAATGTTACTACTTAATTGACTGAACCTGCGAAAAACAAACCCAAACTGATCGATAGAGAAATAATTTTGCAAATTGTGGACATAAATCTTTAGAGATCTGTGTGCGCCGCCATTTGTTAAAATACTGAAAAGGTAAATCAATTTTCTTTATTAAAACACAATTGCTTCATCTATTGCTAGTTTAGGCAGAAGCCAGGAGGCGGGGCATGGGGAGGAATGAGGGAGGAGGTTTTGGAGGCTTTTTTGCCCTTCACTTGGGGGTCACTTGTTAGTCTGAAATAAGAGTCAAGTGCTAGGGAGGAGATGAGAGCTTTCAGGCTGGCAAATGCCTTAGTGTTAGAAGAAGACACAGTCACGGGCTGGTGTGACATGTGGGGAGGCCGAATTGGGACTGCGGAAGAGGAGCTGATGGAACAACAAGAAGTCTCAGAATGCATCAGCCAGGGTAAGTCAGATGAAAGTTGCGGTGACAGACTCAAAACCCCAGTGGCTCGGTCACCAAGGTGTGTTTTTTGCTTACACTACACAGGCATTGCTCATCAGTGGGGGACCAGGCTGATGGAGGAGCCTCAGCCTCAAAGTTGGCTTCTCAACATGCCACATATAGAGAGATGAGAACAGAGGCATGCCTTGAGTCCTGGGGCTACCACTTGGAAGTGGAATCTCTCTCTTCTGTTCTCACTTCACTGGCCAAGGAAGAGGGCATGGAGACACACAGTCCTGTCACACACCCTGACATGATGGTGGAGAGGCAGAGTGCTCTCCTCTGCTGATGACCACTGGACTTTGTGAGCAGGAATCTCTACTTTACGGTACCTTACTCTGTGAGATGATGTTATGTCACCACATCTGTGAGCACAGGGCGTACAGTATTTCTGATTCATCTTTGCAGCTGACACGGCATGAACTAAAAAATGTTTGCTTTACAGACTAAGTTAACTAATCGATGGGCAATAAAGGAGGGAAGCCACAAGACTTTGTAGAATGACATGAGGAGGGAGCCGCACAATCGCATCCGTGGAAGCATCTTGTGGTGTGGCATGGGTGACACTGTTTCTGTTGTTGCTGTTTTTCAGCAGTTTCTTGTGCTCAGCACTGGGCTAAGGTGTTTAAGGCATTATCTCATTTAATTTTGTCAATAAACCTCTCATTGTCTATTTTCAATTTAGAAGCGCATTCCCCTCCACAATAAAGATCATCATAAATTTTAGAGATGACAGGCCCCTCCCATCTCCTGTCACCATTATATCATGATAAGGTCAAATGGACCAGCCACTGTTGGTGGCCTTGGAAGTGCCACTAGCATTTTCTGGGCCTTGGTTTTCTCATTAGTTAATAAAAAATTGGATAAACAGTCCTCTAAGATCCTTTCAAATGTTCCTGTTCCACAGACTTTAATGACTTGCCTCCAGGGGTTTGCCGGCTAACTGGAGAGCTAAACAGGGGGCTGGGGCTTCCTGGTGTCACTGTGCACAGCAAGTTACCATTGAGCCCATGTGAGGAAGAGTAAAACTCGGAGAAGCCAAGTTTTAAATCCACAGTGTCATGAGATATGATATTGTTCCAATACTACCAAACTATTATGAATGTTGAATTTCAAGAGGCATGGTGTGTCTCCTACATGACAGAGAATGTGCTCAGGAAGTGTCTGAGGAGGGAGGTTTCAGAGAAAATGTCAAGATATATTTCATTCAACTTCACAGCCATAGGCAATATTTGGATGTTTGTACCCATTACTCCTCTTAAAGGATCTCAAAACCACAAGAAAATAAGGTGGGGTACTGGCTAGTCTACTGCTAACTGCTCAGCTTAAAAAAGTTACTGGACCAAGTGATCAAAGTCATTTTGGCCATACCTGGGAGGGATGAGGTCTTGGGTGATATCCCCTTTAGATTTAGTATGACAGAATGACAAGGCCAAGCATTTAGTGAACTGAGGTGGACAAAGCACCAAGGCATTGTGGTAGAGCAGGGCATGGGGAGCTGTGCAAGTTCATCCATTAAAATGTCCCAGGCATCTTCAAAGTCTCTTAGAGAAGCGTGAAGAGACTTATAATTATTGAATATTCACTATGTGCCAGAAACTATTCTTAGCACTTCACAAGCATTATTTAATTCAATCCTCTTCATATCAACACTGTGCAGAAGAGGAAACTGAGGTACAGAAACTTTATTTAAGGAAACTGCCACGGACCCACAGGCAGTAAGAGTCAAAATTTGCAGCAAGGTGGTAAATTCCCGCTCTCAGCTGATATGTTTTGCAATCTCAGTGGGTCCAGGCCATTTAAAACGTCACTTGGGATTGTGGTTTGCTTATATAAGAATACCAAAATAGCACATAGAAACCATGTGGAGGTGATTTTCTAACCCTCAAGACCTGGGTTGTCTGCTGTAGTGATTTCTCAGGTCTCTTCCCTGAGGTCCTGGCAAGCAGGAACAGTGTCTCTATTGTTTCTGTTTTCCTAGCACTTAGGATCTACTGCGTGGTGTGTGCTTATTAGCTATTTGCTGAAAGAAGAAATGTGGTTGGAGCTGTTCTCTACATCTCACAAAGGATTTTAAAAATCTGAGGCTAGGGCCTTGGATAATACAAAGGGTGGTTAATGAAAACCCAAATATACCAGGGGTTGCGAGTGAAATGTGGTCTGATTTTTAAATTTAATCTAATGAAAAGGAGGCTGGGGAGATATAGCAATAGTTTGTACCTTGAGGTTTTTATAGTTCTGAACCAATTTATCAAATGTTTCTCAGGCACCCACCACCTGTCCAACATGGTCCTAGGTGCTGGGATGCAATGAGCAAAAGGCTAAGGCAGCCCCTCAGGGGCTTAGGTGCTGTCTCCACCTCCATCCACCCTGCACAGACATAGTAGAAGCCGCAAGGGCTGCAGCTTTTTCCATGCCCTGGGGGGCAGTGAACAGTGAGAGGCATCCCTAGGACCTGTGTCTCCTCAAGATCTTTAAAAACAGAAGAGTTCTTGGTGTAGGGGTCCTGCTCAGAGAGGAAAGAAATCAGTACATGTCTGTCAGAGGGAAATAGCTAATGAAATCAGTGGTGATTTTTAATTTTTACACCGCTTTTTCAGTGGTTGTTAATGAAACCCCTGGTTCTGTGGGGCTGCTAGAGCCTGGCGGAGGGAGAGTATGGAAAAAGCAAGGCTCAGAGAGAAGGCTGAGATTTTCCTCAGAAGAACCTTGTTTTGCTCTATGTATTGGGTCCACAGATTATTTTTCATATTAAAAGAAAAAGCTCTTATATTAGTTCACTTGCATGCTGCTAATAAAGATATTCTGGACTGAGAAATATTTACAAAGGAAAGAGATTTAATGGACTCATAGTTCCACATGACTGGGGAGGCCTCACAATTATGGTGGAAGATGAAGGAAGAACAAGAGATGTCTTACATGGCAGCAGGCAAGATGGCTTGTGCAAGGGAACTCATATTTATAAAATCATCAGATCTTATGATATTTATTCACTACCACAAGAACAGTATGGGCGAAACCACCTCTATGATTCAATTCTCTCCACCTGTCCCACCCTTGACACATGGGGATTATTATAATTTGACATGAGATTTCAGTGGGGACACAACCAAATCATATCATGCTGCCCCTGTCCCTTCCTAAATTTCATGCCTTCACATTTCAAAACCAATCATGTCTTCCTGACAGTCTCCCAAAGTCTTAACTCATTTGAGCATTAATTCAAAAGTCCACAGTTCAAAGTCTCATCTGAGACAAGGCAAGTCCCTTCCACCTACGATCCTGCAAAATCAAAAGCAAGTTAGTTATTTCCTAGATACAATGGGGGTACAGGCATTGGGTAAATACAACTGTTCCAAATGGAAGAAATTGGCCCAAAGGGCCCAAACAAAGGGGTTACAGGACCCATGCAAGTCTGAAATCCAGAGGGGCAACCAAATCTTAAAGCTCCAAAATGATCTCCTTAGACTCCATGTCTCACATCCAGGTCACACTGATGCAAGAGGTGGGCTCCCATGGCCTTCAGCAGCCCTATCTCTGTGGTTTTTCAGGGCACACCTCCTGCCTCAGCTGCTTTCACAGGCTGCCATTGAGTGTCTGCAGCTTTTCCAAGGACACAGTGCAAGCTATCAGTGGATCTACCATTCTGGTGTATGGAAAATGGTGGCCCTCTTCTCACAGCTCCACTAGACAGTACTATAGCGGAGACTCGGTATGGGGGCTCCCATCCCACATTTCCCTTCTACACTGCCCTAGCAGAGGTTGTCCATGAGGACTCTGCCCCTGCAGCAAACTTCTGCCTGAATATCCAGGCATTTCCATACATCCTCTGAAATCTAGGTGAAGGTTCCAAAACCTCAGTTCTTGAATTTTGTGCACCTGCAGACTTAACATCACATGGAAGCTGCCAAGGCTTGGGGCTTGCACCTTCTGAAGCGATGGCCTAAGCTGCACCTTGGCCCCTTTTAGCCATGGCTGGAGAAGCTGGGCTGTAGGGCACCAAGGCTACACATAGCAGGGGTTCCTGGGCACATCCCACAAAACCATTTTTTCCTCCTAGGCCTTCAGTCTTGTGATGGGAAGGGCTGCTGGGAAGGTCTCTGATATGCCCTGGAGAGATAATCCCCATTGTTTTGGTGATCAAAATTTGGCTCCCTCTTACTTATGGAAATTTCTGTGGCCAGCTTGAATTTCTCCTTAGAAAATGGGTTTTCTTTTTCTATCGTATTATCAGGCTGTGGACTTTCTGAATGTTTATGCTCTGCTTCCCTTTTAAACATAAATTACAATTCCAAAGCATACCTTTGTGAATACACAAAGCTGAATGCTTTTAACAGCACTCAAGTCACCTCTTAAATGCTTTGCTGGTTAGAAATTTCTTTCAGCAGATTTGCTAAATCATCCCTCTCAAGTTCCAAGTTCTGCAAATCTCCAGGATGGTGGCAACATGCTGTCAGTGTCTTTGCTAAAGTATAACAAGAGCCACCTTTGCTCAAGTTCCCAAGTTCCTCATCTCTATCTGAGACCACTTCAGCCTGGACTTTATTGCCCATATCACTATCAGCATTTTGGTCAAAGTCATTAAACAAGTCTCGAGGAAGTTCCAAACTGTCTTCTGAGCCTTCCAAACTGGTCCAACCTCTGCCTATTACCCAATTCTAAAGTCACTTTCAGATTTTCAGGTGTCTTTACAGCAGCACCCCACTCTACCGGTGCCAATTTACTATATTAGTCCATTCTCATATTGTAATAAAGACATACCCAAGACTGGGTAATTTATAAAGGAAAGAGGTTTAATGGACTCACAGTTCCACATGGCTGGGGAAGACTCACAGTCATGGTGGAAGACAAAGGAAGAGTAAGCGATGTCTTACATAGCAGCAGGCAAAGAGTGCTTGTGCAGGGAAACTCCCATTTATAAAACCATCAGATCCCGTGAAACTTATTTACTACCATGAGAACAGCATGGGGGAAACCACTCCCATGATTCAATTTTCTCCAACTGGCCCCACCCTTAACACACAGGGATTATTACAGTTCAAGGTGAGAATTGGGTGGGGACACAGCCAAACCATATTAGCACTCTACTCCTTCAAACAACAAGCAGGCACAAATGGTTTAAAAGATTCTGGTTTAGGAATTTGCCTGTGTTGTCCTTCCCTGCATTAGAACTCACAGGAGAAATGGAGGACTGGAAACTTACTTCCTCAGAGTGAGGGAAAGTGGCTACAAGGGGAATTTGGCTACTGTACTGATTTCCTGAAACAAAACATTCACTAATGCAAATGTGGAGGCACCACCCTCTGTTTGAGATAAAACGAAGACATTGGGCTTTTCTGACAAAAAAAAAAAAAAAAAAAAAAAAAACAACAACTAGAAGCACAATAGGCAAAGTTTTAAGGAAGGAGGAGAATCAGCATTGTCATGAAGGCGGTGGATCTAGATTGAAGGGAGGTGGGTCCTGGGAAGCACTGTTGGCACAAGATGATTGCTTAGGGGTGGAAGAGGAGGCTAGCAGGGATGGGATCTCCTTTAGTCCATTTAAGTTGCTAAAAAAAAATACCATTTATGGGGGACTAATAAACAACAGAAATTTATTTCTCATACTTCCAGAGGCTGGGAATCCCAAGATCAAAGCATTGGCAGATTCAGTGTCTGGTGAGGGCTGCTTCCTGGTTCACAGATGCCATCTTCACATGATGGAAGAGATGAAGGGTCTCCCTGGGGCATCTTGTATAAGGGCACTAATCCCATTTGTGAAGGCTCCACCCTCATGACTGAATCATTTCCCAAAGCCCCTACCTACTAATAACATCACCATGGAGGTGAGAATTTCAGCATATACATTTTTGGGGGACACAAGTATTCAGACCATAGCAGGGTCCACCCCCCTTTCTAAGCTCTGTATTTCTAGACTAATGAAGAGACAGAGAAAACATGGTAGAATATAGTAGGCTGCAAGGCAGAGAAGTTGGGGTTCAAATTCTAGTTCTGAGCCAGGTTCAGTGGCTCACACCTGCAATCCCAGCACTTTGGGAGGCTGAGGCAAGTGGATCACCTGAGGTCAGGAGCTTGAGACCAGCCTGGCCAACATGGTAAAACCCAATCTCTACTAAAAAATGCAAAAATTAGCCAGGCATGGTGGCACGTGCCTGTATTCTGAGCTACTTGGGAGGCTGAGGCAGGAGAATCACAGGAACCCAGGAGGCGGAGTTTGCACTGAGCCGAGATCACGCCATTGCCCTCCAGCCTCGGCAATCAAGCAAAACTCTGTCTCCACAAAAAAAAAAAAAAAAAAAAAAAAAAAAAAAAAA